ATTAAGAAAGTGTTTTCCTATATAAAGGAGTACTCTGAAGTAAATTGTACAATTTTCCTTGAGATGTTAAGGTTCTGGTCCAACAATAAGAAATAAATGAATTCATCCTTAGAGCAGTTGTAACATCTATTAGCAACTTGCTAATGGTTATGGGGACAGGGTACAAATTAATGTAGAAAAGATAACAAAGGAAAATATAGGATAGACTCTCAGGTTGTTCCAGTTACAGAGACAAGTTTGCTCTCTGAAAGGGTATCTATGATGCATTGGGCAGGTAATATTGAATAGATAATTTGCTGGCTTGAAGGACTTCTTATTTATATTACATAAGTATTAATTACTTACATCACCTTGATTTACCTGAAGAATTCTATCAAACAGCCAGGTTACAGTTCTAGCACCTAATAGCACCATGGCTAGGAGAGCTTGACGTAGAAGATGCAATAGCATAGATCAGGGGTTGCCAACCTTTTGGACCTCAGGGACCTCAATTCATAATTTTAAATCCCGGGGACCACTAACCATTTCTGTGGGCATGGCCTAATTTGTGGGTGTGGCTTGGTGGTCATGTGACTGGCTGGGCATGGCTTGTATGTAAATATTATAAATATTTATGTAAATATTGATTTTTTTATTAAAAAAGAGCAACTTTTACCCAAAATCAGGCAAAGCAGGCAGATTGAGTTGCTCACAGAATCATTCAGTGATCTATCTATCTGCCATCGGCTAGCTCAGTCTGTCACATAAAATTTGCTTGCTATGAGTCTGCATTAAATAACAGAGCCTTCAGTCCTAAGGGAGGTTCGGCTGTACTTAATAGCAGAGCCAAAGATCTAAAGATAGCTAGAAAGCAAGAAATCCAACCATTTCCTGCTTCCTAGCTAATCTAAAACTCCCAGCACAGCAGAACAGTTGATGGTCAGAAAAAGGAAAAATAGCAGTTTAGCAGGCAAGTTTGTAGGTAAGGAGTGAGTGGGTGGGGAGGGTTCCCATGGGCCATGTGGGCGGTGCAGCCTTGTGTTTCTGTGCAGCCTGGATTAATTGCTTTGTGGGGGTGCTCTGGGGGTGAAATTTCTCTGTGGCCCACCAAAATTTTCTCATGGCCAACCAGTGGGCCACAGCCCACCAGTTGGTGACCATAGGCATAGATCATTAGTGAATTTCAGTTTTCCAGAAAGAATAGTTTTCTAGAAGTATGACGGTTTCTGGGAAATCCAGTAAACTTGAGCCAGAAGTAGAGTCTGCACATATGGATTATAATGGGATTATTTTAGTTATTAAGAAAGTGCTTCAGCAAGATACTCAGAATAACAATTTTAGGAATCTGGACTGGATAAAATTTAAGGAATTTGACTTAATATATGCACATATCTGGTATCTATAGATATGGAGGTGATGGATTTGGTTTAAGGGGTATTGTGGTCCACTAGCAGCCTGGGGAGACAGCAGCAGAGGTGGACAGCGGGGAGGAACATGGGCCAGTCAGGGAGTCTGGGGAGGACTTGGATGAGGGTCCTGCATCTGATACAGAGATGGGGCAAAGGCCATCTGGGAGTTATGTGCTGACTCAGGAGTCTCCAGAATCTGACAGCAGCAAGGCATAGCAATAAGGGCAGCCTGTTCCCAGTGCACACATGTGCAGAGCTGCCAGAAGGCAAGAACAGCTAAGACAAAAGGGGTGACTTGGGAATAAGACTTGGAGGTGATTGGTCTCCCATAAGACATAAAGGAGCATTGTACTGGTTGTTTTGAAACCTGAAGCTCTATGTTGAATTTGTGCTCTGTTTGGCCTTGTATAACTAATTAGAAATTTAATCGTTGGCAGCATTTCAAGGAAGATAAACGTGTGTGTTTATCAGACTTATCCTGAAGGACTTTGGTAGACATCTATGGGACTATTTACAAACTGTTTGAGACTCATTATGGGCTGTGAATGAATAAAATTCATAGTCATTGAAATAAAGTAAAAAGGATTTTGGGAGTAATGTGTGTTTGCTAGTGTCTCAATAAGCCTTGGTCAGAACAAGGGGCAACAAGTTTTTGCTTCCTTTACTTTGAAAGGTCCAGATTATTGTTGGCTTTGTCTGATTGAATGTTTGAATTTGTTCATCCCAGATTTCAGGGATTCATTGTGTGAATTTCATCCCAGAAGTTGGAATATTGTGCTGAGTTGAATGATAAAACTTGGTCTGTATTATTATTGTTTATGTGCCATTGATATTTATGTTATCTAAGTTTCCTCAAAAAAACCAAGACATCAGTTTAGAATAATTTATTGTAAAATTTTCCCAGTCCTCCATCTGTAAATAATGATCTAAGATTCATAGCCTGTTTCTAGAGACAATCTGAATTAAGAAGACAAGAAGATAATAGACATTCGTCAGTATAAAAAAAGCTTAGTTATTAAGTTTAGAAGGATTGAAATTTATTTTGGTTAAGACAGTGACAGCTGAGTTGAGAACAGGAAAAAAACAGAATACAGTCCTGTTTCACTCATTTCTGAATTGTCTGAATTATGAACCTGTGTAACTTTGTTTTCATACAACATCCTAATTAAGAAAAGTAACTTCTGATCAATGGATGCATGAAATAATTTCCACTGGAGTCTTTCTATAGGGGTGGAATCAAAAACTAATTTTAATCAATAAAGATGTTATATAAGAAACGGAAGAAAGAGGGTGCATATTTATTCAAAATCAGTGTGCTTTCCTCAAAGTCTGTTTGTTCATCAACTAGAGATTTCTCCTGTAGTAGCTAATATGGAAATTTACATAACAAAACCTATGAACATAGTATTCTTCCAAAGAAGACAAGCCAAAAAACCCCCAACAACCCTACATTCTGAATTAAATGTTTAAATAGGAAGAATTCTTTTTGGAAATTGGACAAACTGTGTACCAGGTAAGCTATATTCCATTTCCATTTGTGTAAGTTAGAATAAAAACTATTTAAAATCTACTGATATTATCAGAAGAAAAGAAACAGCAAGCACTGGAGAAGAGATACATTATTAATTTAGCCACATTTTACAGGAATGCTACCTGTTTCTTAGTTCAATATTACTAGATTCAGATGTATGGAATAGTTGGATAACATCATCTGTAAACATGCAGAATCTTGAATTTGTATGAAATCTAAAACTAAAAATATTGATAATATAACAAAGACCTAAAGATCGATACAATTCAATTCACACATTAAAAATACATAGATAAATCTCTTAAGAGAGCCAGTTTCAGGGGTGGGCTTCTGGGGGCTTATAGGGGTTTGGGAGAGCCCCTAGCTAAGATTCTGTGCAGTTCAGAGAACCCACAAATCCCACTCCTGGCTGGCCCCACCCATCCCTCCCCTCCCAGGAGTCCCCACATGGCCCGCTTGGATGCAGGTAAGTGCAAGGAGTTCACAGAAGCTCAGGGAAACGGGCCTCCTGGAAGTTTGGAAATGGGCCCATTTCTGGCTTCCAGAGAGCCTACAGAGCCTGAGGAGGCTGTTTTCATCCTCCCAGAGGCTCAAGGAAAGCCTCCAGAACCTGGGGAGGGCGAAAAAAGCATGCCAACCATGGCCACTCCCACCCAGCAACCAGGCAGAGAACCCCTTCCTAAAATTTTTGAAGCCTGCCCCTGACCAGTTTGGTATAGTGGTTAAGACATTCAAGCTAGAAACCTGGACACTGTTTTAGTCCTGCCCAAACACAAAACCAGCTGGGTGACAAGGGTCAATTTCTCTCAGTCTTAGGATGAAGACAATGGCAAACCACTTCTGAAAAACCCTGCAAGAAAACTGTAGGGACTTGTCCAGGCAGTCTGTAAGGACTGGACATGATTGAACAGAAAGAAAATATATCTCAAGCCTTCTATTAACTACCAAGCATATCTCTTATACTTGCTACAGGATTAAACGTTGCTAAAATAAATGGTCCTAGAATAACTCCAAAACAAGAAATTATTTTCAGATACCCATTAGGCCATTTCCAATCAGATATGGAAGAAATTAGATTGGATATTAAAGACTGAAAAAGATCAGTACTATTGAAAATTTCAGGAAAGAAGCTAAAGCCATTAAAAATGTAAAAGGAAATAAAGATATTACTGTTCTCAGAGCAAAGTGAATGTTCTACTCTGTGTTTCCCTGAAAATAAGACCCACCCCAAAAAGCCCTAGTCTGATTTTTTGAGGTGGGACTACCCTGAAAATAAGCCTGGGGGAAGGCCACAGCCAGCATGAGAGCTGGCTTCTTGATGTAGTGCAAATACCAATAAGTCCGAGCACAGAGGGAGAGGCAGGGGAGAGAAGACAGGCAATCTGGACATGCTGCATAGCTGCCTGACTCACAGGAGGCTTGTGCAGCAGCACCAGCAGCAGGCAGAGGTGGAGGCAAATCACTCCATTCCCAAGTGCCCCTTGGTGACCAAAGAATTTTCACATTGATGGAGAAATGACAGAGACTCAATGCTTCATGTGCTTACAAAGGGAATGGTTTGACATGACTCTCTTTCAAAGTGTCCCCTTTGCAAGCAGACAAATTTCATCTCCCTCTGGGCAAAAAGTGTTTGGGAGTTACCACCAGCAGTGACCTTTCTGTGCCACTGTCTGCTTGCCTGTGGCCTCAATCGGGGCCAAGCTCTTGGCACACTCCGGCCTCCACCTGTCCTGCCAGGAGGGCAAAGAGCCCCCATGAGACACTGTGGCTGAGAAGTGTCCCAGCACAGATGGGCCAGCAGGCAGGGCAGGTGGAGGTAGAGGTCGGGGCATGCTGAGAGCTTGTCTCATTGCAACCACTGGCAAGCAGACAACAGGATGGAGAGGTGGGGCTAGCAGTAGCTGTGCTCCCATGCTCCCACTCCTGTCAGCCACTGCGCTTGCCACTTCCTGCACTTAAAAAAAAAAAACCGGCCTGAAATTAAGCCCACGTGCTTATTTTCAAGCCCCAAAGAAAATAAGACCGGGTCTTATTTTGGGGGAAACAAGGTAGTAACATAATAGCAAGGATAGGAAAATTACAGTTAAAAATGCTGATGTCAGGATTCCAAGTAATGACCCCTTTTCAAAACAGAACTCCAAGGCAGATTCTCAAAGAACAGGTTTTATTTAAGAGATATCATCTTGGCATTAATTGGTGGAAAGCCAACTCTGGATTTTCCCGGGCTTTCCACCTCAATAAAACTGACAGTTTCACTTTCCCCACAAACAATACCTCACATTGTCCAATTCAGGCACTGGTTGGTTACTTGGCAACTCCTTCCTCCACCTCCAGCCAGCCAGTTGTTGGAATGTCCTTGACCCAGGAATGAACTAGCTTGTTAAGTTACAAAACTTCCCCTTCAGTTCCAAGCTTTGTCAAGCCCGAAGCCACATGAAAGAACCCCTATTAGAAAATGACAGTAAAGGAAAAAGGAAAAAAAAAACCACAACCAGAATGGCTTCAGGATTGACAGCTGATTTTATTGAATTATGATGTATGCAGAAAAGTATAGAAGAACCCTTTTTAAGATTGAGAAGCATGCAATATTATTTAACAGTCACATATTTTTAAAGATAAGCAGTAGCTCTTCCACCCTCATTAATCAATCCACCTAGATTATGTAGCCTGTCAAAGATTCAGAAATCTGACATCCCATAGTTGCCATTGCAATCAGCATTGAATCACTTTGTTATAGATAGCACCATATATTTGAAATATTTCTAAACTATTTTTGAAGGAAAAACTTCTTTGTTAAAAATAATTTGAAATTTTAAAAAATTCTTTGATAAAATAATTTTCACAACATTTTACTAGTATGTTTGAGAAAAAGATAGTGGATCTTGCTAATTTAAGATAATGTTACATCATTATTTATGCATGATTGGAACAATTTTGATTTATCAGATATGCACATCAGGAAGACTGAAAATATCACACACCTGATACAGTTATGTTTCCTTTGGAATGAAGAACACTATGAATAAATAACTGGAATGGTATAAAATTATTATTTTTTATTGTCTCTATCTTTATTGAAGATTTTGGCTAGCCAGCTATGATGTTGGCTTTACTAATTTGATGAGTTTCATGACAACATGGAACAAAGGAACTGATGAAGTTTCTAGCCTGCCTACATGAACAACAAAACAGATTCATGATGGTGGGTGAATATAATAGAATAGTAGTTTTCTATTTATTAAAGTTACTAGTTTAATGCCAGTAACTGTGAGAGGGATCTTGGAGTCCAACTGACTATCACTTAAATATGAGCCAACAACTGTGGCAGCAGCCAAAAAAGCCAACACAATCCTAGACTGCATTAATAGAGAAATAGAATCAAAATAATTACCATAGCAGTGCTTTACAAATCTTAGTACAGCCACACTGGAGTAGTGCATCCAGTTTTGTTCACCATGATATAAAAAAGATGTTGAAAGAGTGCAAAGAAAAGTAACAAAGCAACAATGATTAGGGTACTGGAGGCTAAAACATAAAAAGAATGGTTGCAGGAATTAGATATATCTAGTCTAGTGAAAAGAAGAATTAGGGAGATATGATAACAATGTTCCAAAATTTGAGGGGCTGCCACAAAGATGAGGAAGGCAAACTATTTTTAAAGCACTGGAAGGCAAGGCAAGAACAATGGGTGGAAAGTAATCAAGGACAGAAGCAACCTGAACTAAGGAGAAATTTCCTAACGCTGAGAACAATCAACCTGTGGAATGGCTTGTCTTCAAAAGTTTTGATCTGCCTCATCACTGGAGCCTTTCAAGAAGAGAGTGGATAACCATTTGCCTAAAATGGTATAATCTCTCTAGTTTGAGTAAAGAGTTAGATTAGATAACCTCCAAGGTCTCTTCCAATTCTGTTATATGTCCTATGTTCTAATGTTCTATGTTCAATATATTGTTGGTCATCTAAGCTACCAAGTTATTAGAAAAAGACTGTTATCCCAATGCCATATTACTTTGTGATTTTCAGCAAGTAGAGATAAGTAAACAAGTCACTAAAGCAGGAGTGTCAAACTCAAGGCCCGGGGGACGGATCCAGCCCATGGGGTGTTTAAAACTGGCCAATGGGCTAGCCCTGGAAACAGCAAAGAACTGGCCCATGGTACATCAGCCAATGAAAATGGAGCTTGAGAGGGCCACATGCAGGCTGCCTGGGCTCCGTTTTTAGCCATGATGGCCTCCTCCAGCCCAAAGCTTGGGGAGGCTCCACACATCCCTCCCAGGGTCTGTTTTCAGCCACGACAGCCTCCTGCAGCCCTCTGCCAGCAAAAACAGAGCCTGGGCTAGTCAAGTATGGCCTCCCGAACTCCATTTTCACTGGCAGAGGGCTGCAGTAGGCCCTTGCTGCCAAAAAATGAATCCTTGATGTGTGACATTGAGCTGGCCATCCCCACCCACAGCAGTCCAAGGTCAAACACAACCATGATGCAGCCCTCAATAAAATCGAATTTGACACCCCTGCATTAAAGAATGTGGCTGAGAAAACAAGTGATATAACTAGCCAACCAAAAGAAATTCAAGAAATATTCTTTTAAAGATCTACTGTATCTAGAACAAAGAAAATATCTGAGGAATTGAATGAGTCTTTGAATACTAAGCAAAACTCCTATGCATACCAGATGTAGCCCCAAGAGTAAGTCATATTGTTACTTTCATATACACATCTACATTTTTGTTTGCAGTGACCCAACTGCTTTCTTTTCTGCTCCCTTGCACTCTCAGAAAACTGCTTCCCACCTTCTTGTTTCAAACTGCATTGCAAGACAAACTGGAAGTTATGTCGAGAAGGAGCCCACAAGCAAGAAGAGGGGTGTTCTGTGCAGTTCCAGGGGAGAATGCATTCCCCTGTAGATTCCTAGGGCTTTCTTTGCCCTCTGTGCCATGCCAGAGCTGGAGACAGCTTCAACCTAAGAAAAGTGCTGGAGTGAACAGTGTTTGAAAGAAACCTTTATATTTAAAGTGCAACCCTGAAAAAAAGAAGATTCGGAAAAAGAGTGACTCAGAACGATCTTTAAAGTACCGGCATCTCAGCACAGCGAGTAAAATTTTTAGATTTTTAAAATGGAAGGAAAGGGAGGAAAAAAGAAAATTTGCTAAAAATACAGAAAACTGGACTTTTTAATTGGACAAACATTGGCTGTGGATAGGCATTGTAAGTTGCTGGAACCCCCTATATAAAAAGTTGATATTGTATTTGCATTTTGGAGAAAATGAGTAAAATTGAATAAGAAATAAGAAAGATAAAGTGAAAATTGATGTAAGATTGCTACCTGCTGTCAAAGGAAGGCCCAGTATATCCCCAAAACTCTGATAAAGGCCTGGCTTTGGACTCAAAGGAAAGAATAAGGAAAACTTTACCATTAAAAAGACCCCTGAAAGTTTCAATATAGACTGATTTTACTTTTGGATTATCTTGAAGAACAGTTTGATTAACTTGGGGATACAAAGATTCCTGGACATTGAACTCTTTGTTTGAGAAGTGACTTTGGCTTGAATAAAAGATTGTTGGACTATTGGACAAAAAGAAATAAAAGAAACAAAAGAAAGATGAGTGGAATTTGGGAAGAAATCGCACTGGAAATTCAGTATATGAAGGATACTTTGACAAGAAGATGTGAGGAAATCTTGAATAAAACAGAGAGCATGGATGTAGATTTGGAAATTTAGGACACAAATGACAAAGAGAAAACAGAATGACCAGGAAGAGGAGGAGTTAACCGAAAGAGCAGTTGGAAAAATACAACAGACAAAACAACAAATAAATAATAATTATAAGATATAGATAAAAATAAAAATGATAATGATTGATGATGATATTCTCTGAGGGGAGAATATTTTAAGTTAAGTTAAACGGGAATTCGAATTTCAGGAAGTTTCCTTTGGGAGAGAGACAGGGGTAAATGTAGATAACTTGAAAATGAGACAATTGAACTGGGTAGAGAAGGGAGAAATGTCTAAGAGGACGAGCCAAACAGTGGTAGCATTTGAAGTAAAGATCCAAGAGAGGAATACAGGAGACAAGCTAAGAAATGAATAATCCAAGCTTTACTGTGAATGAGAGATGATGGATAACAAAAAATGGCTAGAAATTAGAGAAAGGGGGATTAAGGGAATAGAATTTTTACATTATAAAGTGAATTAATAACAAGGAAATTTAGAATTTCAATGCGGGTAATTTTGAACATGTTATATGGAATAATAAAATAATATATAAAAATAACAAAAATAACATTGAAATAAGATAATGAAAGATTATAACTTAATAAAACAACTGTACTATTATTAAAATTATATAACTTGTCAAATGTAAATATGATGAATACTATTTTATTTGTAATAAATAAGTTGTAAAATGTGATTAGAAAGGGGATATTTTAAAATATAATAGTGACATAGTTAAAAATCAGAAAGGGGATAAATAATGGAAGATTATAACCCAATATAAATTGGTGACTTTTTATTAGAATTATATACATCTTTTAAACACCACAAATATGATTAAAAGAGGGATATTCAGAATATAGAGATTGACACAAAAATAAGATGTTGAAATGGTGAATAATCAAAGAATGAAATATTACAATTTAACAAAATATGTGTATCAATATTAAGTGTCAACTGCATTAATATAAAGAATATTGTCATATTTGTTCTAAAATGTAAGATACTCTGGTAACACACTGCTCACACAATGATATGTTTGTAAAAAACAAGACAATATATATGTGTGTGTGTGTGTATCTTTGGTTGTTCAGGTTTTCTCCTGCATAAAATTGGAAGTATCTAGGCGATGTTTCGATGAAGTCTCATTCATCATCTTCAGGCTTGTGTCTTCGGCTCTGTGCTTCTCAGAGTAATGTGAGCTTGCAGCTGGTTCTTCCTTTTAACTGCTAGTGGGGGTGTGACTTGATTGGGTGGGGGCTTGGCTGTGTTCTGATTGG